CGGGGAGTGTGCTTTGCCCCGCCGGTAAGCGGTGCGGTTAGCGTAGTGGAGGTTCGCCGTGCCTTGCTATGCTTCCCACACCCAAATTATTATTTATATTTATTTTTCCCTCCCTGCCCCTGCTGCAGGAGGCTGTGCCAAGGGGCAGCAAGCCGGGCTGGTGCAGCGCAAAGGTGCCGGAGGGGGGGTGAAATTTCTGGAAATCTGTTTTATTTTCGCTATGCACAAACCGCTGCTGCAAAGAGCTTTCACCAGCGGATATCATTCAGGAAAAAGGAAAATTTTCCCCTCTCATCAAGTGGGATTTCGGTGTGCAAAAGCCAAAACAGCTCATGCCTTTAATAACCGGCTTGTCATAATTGGTATATATGTAGTAGGTACCGCAAATCTGTATTATGGATGTGGGCGCGCATATGCTTGACGTGGCATCTTATTTGCGCTGAAACCTGCTAAAGGATGCTCTGCGCCTCTTCCCCAAAACGTGAAGTCATCTGCGGCGGTGGGTGGCGAAAAGACAAACAGACAGAGCAGGAAGGAAGGCAAGAAGGTGGAAAGCTGCCATTTCCAAGCCAGGAGTACTTCCAAGAGCTTTTTTTTTTTTTTTTCTCCTCTTGCATTTTACGCACGCAGTATGGAGCAAATTGCGTGGAGCCTCCGCTGGAGGAACACGCGTCCTCGCTGCGCGTCCGCGAAGTGTACATAAACAAACGGAGTGGAGGGGGGACGCGAGGGCCGCTCCCCGCGCCGGGCCCGGCTTACCTCGCCGTTACTTTGCATTGCTGATTTCCCTGCGTTTAATGGCTTTCATTTATTTTATGTGTGCTTTGATGCTAAACATTATTTGGCGCTAATGAAATAGTTACAGTCCGCAATAAAGTAATTGAGGGGCGGAGGGAGAATCTCCAAAAACTAAAGCCACAGCAAAATATATCGTCTTGCTGCAAATTAGTTGCAAGAACGACTGAATTAAAACAAGAGCGGAAAGCCTATTCGGGCTGCTTCTGGGCTCTCTGCATTCCTCCTTTTTCCTTTTACCTACTTCAGTAACAGCCACGGCGCAATCATGG